AACAAGAGAACAGAAGTTGTCTTGAGAGCAGAAAGACAGTCAATTTTTCTGAGCCTGCGCCATCGCTTGAGAACGCCTGCTTTCATGGTTTCCGCACATGTTAGCTGATCGTGTGTAGTTATCCTGCCAGCTCCCTGCATATAGCTGGCCAACCATCACATGCATGCCACGTAGCAACAGCTGCAGGCTCTGTTGGACGAAGATCGTCCTGCGGTTCCACGCGTATAACCCAAGGTGTTCGCCGTCGAAGTGGATTGCGTGCGCCTCGTCGAGGCACTGGCAGTGGTAGATTCGCACCCGCACCCGCTGGCTCCACTGGGAGGACGTCACGTCCGCCTCCACCCACTGCTCCACCCATGAGCCACCACACGCTGGGGGGCCCAGAGGGCAAGGCGCGCTTAGCAGCTCCTTCTCCGACAGCTCTTGAAAGTGGCAGTGTGTCAGCTTGCTAACATGGACTGGGCGGTCGAGCGAAGTCACGAGCGGGTCATGAACGGCATGCGCATCACTGGGCCGTGCCAGCTTGGGCTTCGTGATTTGGCTCGCCTCCGTGGTAAGGAGCATGACAGGGACGCGCACCCTCGAGGCCTCCCCATGCTCACATCGACCGCTTGCAGCCGCCAGCGAGGCCAGTCTGCAGCAAGTGCATGCGTCGACCCAGCCTCGAATTGCCTCCTTGCCTCTCGCATCCGTTGGTGGCCGAGCGTCCCACCCCACCCTCGTTTCTGTCGAGCCTTGTTTGTGCGCCTCCCAGAAGGTCTTGTTCCGCCTCGCTCGTTTGCGCGGGGGCTGTTCGTCAACTGCCCCCCTCTCCCTCTCATGATCGCCCCCATTGCTCTCCTGATCCCCTGAGGTGTGTGCGGCGGCCTCTCCAAAGAGTCGATCGTGCTGACGACAGAAGCACGAGTCGCCAACGCATGTCGCCCGCTCGTGGGGCCGCCGCTCCAGCAATTCAACGAGATACCGCTCCTCGTCCGCCAGAACCCCCTGCAAGGAGGGACCGGCGCCAGGCACCCCTCCGATTGTCGGCAACTCCCCATTCCACGCCTCGAGCCAGTCCATTGCGGCTCTCGACAGAGGCTCCGTAAGCTTCATGATTACCTGGTCGGCCATGAGAACGCCCCCTTCATCCGACCTCAGAGCCGCCTTCGCCGCCAAGACGTGCGAGCAATCCATGAGGCTTGGGCAGCCGTCGCGCTTCCCCTCGCAATACCACGCCCCCTTGCTGCTGCAGAACAGCATGCGCCTCTGAGGACCAGGTGCTCCTTGGAGATTTTCAGCCACTACAAAGTAGCTCCCCGTTGCGTCCACCCCAATTTGTTTGACCCTCGCCCCCCTGCCAAGCGAATTGTGAGTGGGCAGCTCTGCCGTTGGGGCCCAGCTTTCACTGAGGGCCGCCATCGCCAGCTTATGCACGCACGGCGCGTCCTCCGTCAGCCGCCCCCGATGGCACGTACAACAGAGCTTGCCGAGCGTGCTCCACCATACCGTCTCTGGCAGCGCGTGCGTCTTGTCCGGCCTCCCTAACCCCTTCGGTCTGCCGTCCCCGTTGTGATCCCACGGAGACATGTAGAGCCTAAGCGGAGGGGATACCGACCCCGTTGGTAGATAGACCCGAACCAAATCCTCGGAAGACTCCATCATCTTCAGATAGCGCGCCGCCTGCTCCTTGATGCCCAACGACGCCGCCCCCTGCAATGCAAGGAGGGAGCACGTCTTTCAGAAGGACCTCCTTGCCGTTGTGAGGCAGCATCAAGACTATGGATCCCTTGGAATCGGTGTCTCTGTACTCGAACAATTGGGACACCTTGTGACCACAAAGTTTGGCGTCACTATATAGCAACCTCAACAGCACCGTGAACTCTTTGAAATGGCGATGACGGCGATTCGCTCTCGCTATGTAGCAGCGATGGCACCGCGAGCGAGCTGGGCAATATGAGAGTGTTGCACACATTTTTTTTCTGATGTACATCAAGAAAAAAGAGTTTGCGAGCTCACCTGGGTGCTCGTCTCCTCCGGAGCGCCTTTCACCCTCGGCCGCACTCCTTTAGCCATCCCTCGATTGCCGATCTGGGACGCTGCCGTGGCAGCTTTTGGCCTCTGCCCCGGCATTGTTCTTGCGTTTTCCTCGCGTAGAAAGCCAAGCAACTCGTTTGTGAGCTGCAGACTTTGCTTCCAAGGGCTTCCCTGTCCCTCCCGCTGCAAGATGGGAGAGTCTTGCTTGCCATCCCTCCTGGCGCTCAGAGTGACCGACAATCCATCATCGCTCTCGGCAATCATACCGAGCAGATCCTGGATGCAGCTCAAGCACACAAATTGCTTGCATTGCTTTGCCTTTGGAATCTCGGCACTGACAACATAGCCCATGATTCTGCGGTCGCTCTTGCGAAAATTGAGCTTCAACTGCCCCTCCTTGCTCTTGACCCAGAACTGATGCAAGCACGTGAGGCATCTGACAGCAATACGCTCCTTGCAACTCTGAAGATCAACCCGAATCTCACCGGACGCGATGCCTCGTAGGCTACCTTGCTCTATGTGGCTTAACGCACTGCTGAAATGCTGAAGACTAGCCGGAGACTCCATAGTTACCACCCCTTCCTTGCCTTACTCTAAGGGGGGCGGACCTCCCTAAGCCCCGTGCGCCTGAGCCACCCTGTCTGCTGCTACCCGGTCCGGATTTACCGGGCCGTCAAACCTGCCTTTTGGACTCAACTCACTCTCCCTAAGTGCCTCAGCCCCGACCTCGGCTGTTGGTACCCGGTCGCTTGGCCCTAAGTTCCGGTCGTTCGACGCATCAGTGATCGAAAGTGTCCAACAACTGTCGTGGGGGGTGCCTACGTGGCATCCTCTACGGTACATGCGACGAAACTTACCCGTCACGGCCGAATCCGGCATGAGCGTTAACGCATTTTCACCGATCGATCCGTCCTGATCAATCTCGGCCGTTCATTTTAGTCTCAACTTCATTTGGTAGGCCCCTGCA